TAGCAGAATTCTCACATCAGCTGTGAGATGGGCAGGCATGGAGTCAGATTAACAGCGATGGTGATGAGTGGAAAAAAAAACACCCGTCTCCTTACATTCAGCCACTCTTTCATCATCTCCTCAATGAGGTGGTCTCAAAAGTCGCAGTTACAACACACATAAGGCGCACCGCACCAAAGGGCGCACCGCACATTTTGAGGGAAAAAAAAGACGTTTAAGTGCGCCTTATAGTCGTGAAAATACGGTAGATTATAGTGATTTGTATTGCAGTAAACAAAAAACATACAGCGGCCCACTCACCCACACTCTACCAGTGACACTCCCATAGATGAGTAATATGCCCAATTACAAAAAAACTCGCACATCTAGTTGATCCATTCTTCTACAAACAACCAACCAAACAAACAAATGAAAACAAAACCATAGCAGCTGTTAACCCAGACAAACAAACATCAAAACATCTTTTCATGTATGGCTCCTACAACTGTATTATAAGTATTTTTAAAAACTTACTGAATTAAAAGCCTTAACAAAACAATGTGATGCAGTAGACTTAACCTGTAAGTTTACAGTTAAATAGTTTTTAATAAAAGTAGGTAATAATCTGAAGTCTGAGGCATGAACCTCCAGGGCTGAATTTCTTTTTCTTTTTATTCCTAGTCTAGATATGCATCCCATGTGGCTCATGTAGTGCTGTATACCAACTTATTGCACCAATGATAACAGAACACTATCCGACAGACTAAAATATTTTAAAAAATATTAAATATTTGGTTATAATTATTGTTACCGTGCAAATAAGAACTCTTAGCCAACATAAATTATTCCACAACAGAAATCGTGGCAGCATTTCTTCCCCCATTCTTGAACTAACAGTTACTTTAATGGAGCAGTTCTGATAAATACTGAACACAGCCAATGGAGATGAAGAAAAAGCATTACTCTTCAATCTGAATGGCTAACTGATGACAATTAATGTGACATTATTGCCAAAATTATTAGAAAAATTACAATGGATAATCTAACATTTCACTTTCTGCAGTACCCTAGTCTTATAATAAAAGTATTATGATTACCGGTATATAACCAGCATAGCAAAATAACCCATATATATATATATATTTGTATATATAAATAGATTTTACCTGCATGAGCCACACAGAAGACCAAGAGTAGTAATATGAGATTCCTCATTATGTTTGGTAGGATTAGAACTGAGTGTAGCCTGTACAAGTCTGTTGAAAATGCAAGTATTTCCTGTTCTTATCATTCAAGCATTTTAAAGGTGTGGCTTTCAGTTGAATTTCAGAACACCCAAATAGTTTCAGTACTGAAGGTTCCGTCACAGCATGTTGTCTAGTTTGTGAGAAGAGTTAAAACTATAATAGTTTCCTTTTGAGTAAACAGATCAATCAGTTATTTTATGTAATTGTACCTCTTTAATTGTGAATATCGATTAGAATAATATTTTTAAATTGAAATTAATATAATATCACTCTAATTAAAGGCAAAGCCTGAAATGGTTATTAATTATAGAGAGACACTTTACAAGCTACCATTATAAAAAATAGAAGAGCAGAAAAAAATCAGTAAATTGATGACTTTGAGGTCATCATTGGGTCATCATTGTGGGGATTTTAACATTCATGCTGACATTTAAGGTGATAGCTTAAGTGCAGCCTTTAATACTATAAGATGCTTTTGGCTTTGTTCAAAATGTGAATAATCCCACACATTCTCATACTTTGGACCTTGTGCTGACATATGGCATTGAATGTGAAGAAATAACAGTGTTTCCTCATAACCCAGGCCTCTCTGACCACTTTTTAATAACCTTCAAGATTACTAACAGAGTTCTCCTCCGCCCAAAAGAAGGTTTCACTTTGGCAGATGCGATAACAGATTATGCAGGCATACATTTTAAAGAATCTATCTCCCTTTCTTTGTCCTCTGTGTTGCTGCGCAGTGCTGCAGAGGGCAACAGTTTAGTTTATTACCCTTCACAGGTTCATGATTTTGTTAAGGGAGTTGCTATTTCTCTCTGTACTGCCTTGGACAATCAATCCACTTCGAAAAAGAAAAACTTTAAAAAAAAGAGAAAGCAGGCTCCCTGGTTTAATGCAGAGCTGCATATTCTGAAGCAAAATGCTAGGAATTTGGAGAGAAAATGGCACTCTACATGCCTAAGGGAATCCTACATAGTCTGTAAAAATAGTTTACTACTGTATAGGAGGACCCTTCATAAAGCAAGAGCAGCATATGTCTCCTCATAAATAAGATAGAATCTATTAAAAATAAGATCATTAGCACTCCTCCAACTATCACTGGTTTATCTCTGGAAGGTGAGGCAGCATCTGAGGTAGCAAGCTAAATCCCAGGTTTAGAGTGCTTTGATCCAGTTAAACTTTCAGTGTTAGCAAAAGTATTGCCTTCATTTAAAGCTCCAACTTGTATGTTAGATCCAGTTCCAACCAGATTATTTAAGGCAGTATATCCTCTAATCTCCTCCATTTTAGATGTGATTAATCTATTCCTTTCAAAGAGATATGTGCGTCTTTTAAGGTAGCTGTAATGAAACCTATGCCTATGCCTCTCTTGACCCAGATGAATTGGTCAATTATATAACAAAATCCAATCCTCCTTTCTTATCTAAAATTCTTGAGAAAGTAGTTGCCAAACAAGTTTTTGTGACCTTTACACCATAATTAACTTTTCGAAGAGTTTCAGTCTGGCTTTAGAGCTCATCATAGCACTCAAACAGCTCTGGTGAAAGTCACTAATGATATTCTCATGGCCTCAGATAATGGAATTGTATCTGTGCTCGTCCTGTTAGATCTCACTGCTGCATTTGATTCAGTTGCTCATAATATTCTTTTAGAAAGACTTGAATATTTCATATGAATTAAGATATAGGAACAGCACTAGACTGGTTTTTTAATCGTATTTATCTGACCGATTTCAGTTTGTTCACGTTAATGATAAATCTTTCTCATGCCCCAGGGTTACCTGTGAAGTACCACAGGGATCAGTGCTAGGACCAATTCTCTTTAATATATACTGTATATGCTTCCATCCATCCATCCATCCATCCATTTTCTGTCACATTGCATGCCTGTGGGATACACCCTGGACAGGTCACCAGTCAATCGCAGAGCTATATATACTCATAATTGGTAGAATTATTATACAGCATGGGATTAATTTCCACTGTTATGCTGATGACAGCTATATATGTCTATAAATTACATTACAATACATACCGTAGACTACAGGAAGGTCTTCAAGGCATAAAAACCCAGATGTCTCTTAACTTTCTGCTCCTGAATGCAGATAAAACAGAATTTATAGTCTTTGGACCAGTCTTTGAAAAAGAATCTGATTAGTCAGTCACTTCATTTGGATGGGATTAAACTGATTTCAGATAATAAAGTAAAAAATCTTGGTGTTGTTTTTGATCAGGACCCGTCTTTTAAATCCCATGTCAAAGAGGTTTCTAGAATTTCCTTCTTTTATCTGTGGAGTATGCAGAAATAAGAATTATCCTGTCACGGGGTGATGATGAGAAACTAGTCCATGCATTTGTTACTTCAAGACTGGACTATTGTAATTCTTTACTATCAGGAAGTTAACAAAATGTAGTTAAAAGCCTTCAGCTGATCCAAAATTCTCATTCTCATATATAACGCCTTAAATTACTAAAAAGTTGGCTCGATCTAAAAAATCTCCCACGATTGGAAAGTCGGCCCGATTAGGGCCAAAAATCGCACAGTGTAAGTTTGAGTTTGAGCTCCTTCCAAAGATTCTCTATTGGATTTAGGTCAGGAGACTGGCTAGACCACGGCAAAACCTAAATATGATTCTTAGAGAGCCACACCTTATTCATCCTGATTGTGTTCTTCGGGGCCTTGTCATGCTGGAAGACCCAGCCTCACACTATCTTCAATGCTCTAACTGAGGAAAGGAAGTTGTTCCAAAAATTTCCGCAACACATGGTCCCACTCATTCTCTACAGTCTACAGTGCAGTCAGCCTGTCACATGTGCAGAAAAACACCCCAAAAGCATGATGCTAACACCCCCATGCTTCACAGTAAAGATAATGTTCTTGGGGTGGTAGTCATCATTCTTCTCCCTTCGAAACAAGATTTGTGTAATTTAGGGTTGTCAAAAGTATCGATACCCAAAAAAGTATTGATACTGAAATGTTGTATCCGGATACAATACTAATTTTCAAAAGTATCGATTATCTAAAAGTGCACTTATCTAAAGTGCAGAATAGATGAAAATGCACTTTCTAAACACTGTGTGATTGAATAATTCTGTGCACTTTTCATTTTCAGACTTTTTTTGTAGCAGGTGCAGCTGCTGAGAATTATTTTTATTTCCTAACCGGTTTGGCTAGTGTCTTGCTATCTGTGCCAAGCATAGCCAAGAAGGGAACACTTCATTTTAATTTTGTAAGTTTTTTACCAAGCTTGCTTAATATTTTGCACAGCAAACAACCTTTAAAATATTCTTCTTATTGTTTATTGTACTTATTTATTGTATTTTTATTATTAATGAAAATTTCTGTTGAATTTTGGAGTCTTTGTTTTTATCCTTGTGGTATCGAGTATTGAATATTTTCCTTAGTATTGGTATCGAGTTGAAAAGTTTAGTATTGTGACAACCCTAGTGTAATTATGACTAAACAGTTCTATTTTGGTCTCATCTGACCACATTACTTTCTCTCATGACTCCTCTGGGTCATCCAAATGGTCATTGGCAAACTTAAGACAGGCTTTGACATGTGCTGGTTTAAGCAGAAGAAACGTCTTTGCAATGCATGATTTCAAACCATGATGTCTTAGGGTATTACCAGCAGTATCCTTGTAAATTGTGGTTATACTGCTTTTCAGGTCATTGACCAGCTCTTCCCGTGTAGCTCTGGGCTGATTTCTCAGATTTATAATGATCATTGATTGACAGTCCTGTTTAGCTTCTTCCAGTTTCTAATGATTGCTCCAACAATGGTTGTTATTTCCTCATAGCCCTTTCCAGCCTTGTAGAGGTGTACAATTTTGTCTCTAGTGTCTTTGGACAGCTCTTTGGTCTTGGCCATGTTAGTAGTTGGATTCTTACTGATTGTTTGGGGTGAACTAGTGTCTTTATGCAGCTAACGACCTCAACAGGTGAATCTAATTTAGGATAATAAATGTAGAGGAGGTGGACATTATGAAGGCAGACTTGCAGGTCTTTGAGGGACAGAATTCTAGCTGATAGACAGGTATTGTGGGTTTTATCATACAAATAAATACATAAAAAAGCATACAATGTGATTTCTGGATATTTTATTTATTTTTTTTGATTTTGTCTCTCACGGTGGAGATGCACCTAAGATGACAATTTCATACCCCTCCATGATTTCTAAGTGGGAGAACTTGAATAATAGCAGAGTGTTCAAATACTTATTTTCCTCACTGTATATCCGTTAGATTTTCACCCTCATTTCTTTTTCTCTACTCAGCTGTTTAGTTCACTACATTTCTCTCTTCAGCTCCCAGGCTTAACACTCATCAGCTATTTATTGTTTACACTTGCTTGCTGCCATTTATCGGTATTCCATCCCATTTAAACTTTTTTTCTTTTTTTGTTATTATTAGATATTGATTCACTTCAAATATCTGCCTCCAATTGCATGCAAAGAATCCTATTATTACCTTCCCTATAAGCTATTTTTATAAACATTTACCTGTGTTTTTTATTGAAAAATAAACAGGGTACCCTGCTTAAAGCCTTAATAAACCCTATTTAACTTATAGAAACAGATATTTTAGCATTTTATTAAGGGGGCATTGATTGAGCTGAAAGGTATTATTATTGTTATTGCTTACTTTTCTGTTTAAATAAAAGCACACAAAGCTCTTTCAGGACATAATAAACAACTTGACTTTTATGGTTACAGAGAAGAGCTATTACATTATGGGCCCACCTCCCTTGCTGTGACAAGTCCAGGTTTTAGGCCAGAGTACTGAGCTTTGCAAGAAAGACTTCTGCCAGATGTACGTCATTCTGGCTGGTTAAGGCTGGTAAAATTTCAATTCAATTCAGTTTATTTATATAGCGCCAAATTCACAACACAAGTCATCTCAAGGCACTTTACAGTTCAACCAGATCATACAGTCAAATTGATACAAAGTTTTCTATCTAAGGAAAACCAGTTGATTGCATTTGACTCGTTGACT